GCTTGTTTTAGACTAGGGAGCTCAGGCCAGTCCCAGCAGCCTGGATCCAGTGAAAAAATGAAAACTCTGCTGTGGGGGACAGGTAAGGAGCCAGCTAGGGATCATCTGTGTCATGCTGATTGCTACAGACTGTCCTTCAGGGGGTCACTAGCTGGTGTGTGGAGATGGCCCTCAGTGCGTGCCTCTCCTCACATAAGGAGCAATGGGGATGGCACCTCCCTGATGAGGATGGAGCGCCTGGATGGATGGGTGGAGTGAAGCTGTTGCCACAAGCAGCCTTTTAGCTGGGAGCCTGCACACCCCAGCTGAGCTGCACCCCCTTCCAGGAGGCACCTCCCTGGCCCTGTCCGGCCTGTGGCCGCAGCCCGGCTGGCTGAGGAGGGCCCTGGCTCTGCCCGGGTGCTGCTGGTGGCCTGCCTTGTGCATGGCTGCCTGCCTGGGGCCGAGCGGGGTTTTTCATAACACATCTTCCTGCTGTCCTATTTGCCTGAGCAGCCTTGCTTACAGGTACTGCACTGCCTGGAAATCTCTTCTTCCTGCAAACAGGCTCAGTGGGGGAAATAAGCTGTGAATGTGGGCTCCTTCAGCGTTTCCTCCTCAGTGCTGTGAGAACACCCGCTGCGTCTTCTCTGGGAACAGGCCGTGCACCAGCACAGGCTGCCTTTGTGCCTCGCCTGTGCAGAGCAATCCAGTTGATCAGCCACGTGTTGCAGCTGTACGGGGACTGACCGCACCAGCTGAGGCCATCTCACTGTCCCAGGGGCCTTGGGCTCATTCCCAGGACAGAGAGGCTGCGTTCCCATGTGGCCCCATGCTGGTGCTGTGGTGGGAACCAGGCGAGACCCAGCTGTGCTGAGGCCTGTGGGAGGGGGCACCCCCCAGCACTCTGGATGTCAGGAGCTCAAAGCACCACTTACTTAAACCAGCCCTTCTAGATATGCACAGTGTACTGGTGTTGATTATGTTCCATCATGTCTAATGAGTTTTTGGGTTCCTCAGTTGCTGTACCAGAGCCCCCCTTGCTGGCAGCAGCCCATGTTTGGCTCACACTAGAAATCCTCGAATGCTCTCACTGGGCTACTCCTGGCTGTGCCCTCACTCAGCCCTAATGGCACAGATCTTCCCCAGCCTTCCCCCCACCTTTGACTGCAGATTTGATCCTTTCCAGTCCCTGTGGGGTGATGGATGAGTTGTGGTCCCACGCACCTCCCATCGTTCCAGCCACCCCTGTAGCAGGCTCCCAATTTTCCAGGCCGGCATTTGGAGTGTGTTTATAAAAATCCTGCTGTGAAAAAGCAAACAAATGAAAATCTGCTTGAGTTTCCTTAGATGTGGACACTGGTTTGTCCTCCCACCCTGAAAACACCCTTTGTAGTTATTGATTTAAACTTCATTGGCCTCTGAAGGAATAATATTTTATATACAGCAGGGCTGCACACAAAAAAGCTACAGAGCTTGTTTGAAATGGATTTTGCTAACCTGGTATAAAGGCTGCATAATTATCTGTATTTCAGTAGAGCTGCATTGATTTCAGCTTAGTTTATGTTGATTATGATCAGAGTTCAGATAAATCAAGTCAATTGCTCTCTTCAGTCTAAATAGGTGCTTACTCCACTGCCTTTAAATCACTTGAAAATTATATTTGAAGTTGAAACAGTACACTTGTTTGTGCAAGCCCTCTCCAAGGAGCTCTGCTTTGTTACAAACTCTATCCTGTAATGCACCAGCAGTCCTTCTGGCACTTCTCTGGCGTATATTTCAGGTGTGTGATTTCCTCATTCTTATTCTTTTTTTATAGTTTAAAACACAATTTCCTCCTCTTCTCAACTACGTAAGTCATGTCAATAGGTTACACTATCCCACCACATTGTGTACTTCAGTTGGCAAGCTATTCTGGAAAAATATTTAGTGTAGTCACAAGCAGATGTACAAGAACATTTCCTTTTACTTAATACCTCTGCCTAGGTCTGCAGGGTCACTTAATACCTCCTCGGAGGCAGGTGTGTCACGTACCCCCTGCTCTGTGGGTGGGTGGGTAGTTGTTATCTGTGGTCTTGGCTGGGTATCTCACCTCGGTGATGGCACAGAATTGCTCCTGCAGCTCCTTGCGTGGGCCTGTCCTACAGCACCCATGAGCAGTGGGTGGCTGGCAGCATCTGTGCTGATGCTGGGGGGATGGACTGGGTGTGGGCAGGGCAGCACTACAGCAGCTCACCTACCATGCTGCTGCTTCCTCTGCTTGCTCATGAGCACGGGCACTCTCCTGCCCTTGCCATCAGCCCTAAGGTGAAATCGCAGGGATTGCCTGGAGCTGGGCTTTTTGGAGTGGGGAAGAGAGCTGAGAGGTGGCTGGTAAGTGCCCTGTATAGGGAAGCAAATTGATCGCTGCAGGAGGAATGGAGACACTCGATGACGAACAATTGTTTGGTGGTGGTTTTTTTTGGTTTTTTTTTCCCAGCAGTGGATGCAACACACAAAAATTTTTTTCTTCTAGGTTTTCATTTCAGCCTTAAAACAAAATTCTTTTCCCAAATAAACTTTTATACAAGCTACCATAGCATGGGTGGCACAAAGCGAGCCTTTTGGTGGGATCTGCCTGGGTTTCTGCCTCTGGGAAGCAGAAAGGGACAGACACATGGCTGCTGAGGGGGTGGATGCAGGGCCAGGGTGGCACATGTCTCAGTGCTGTGAGAGCTGTAGCCAGGCTGGGTGTGGGTGACATGTCCAAAGCGTTGGCATCTCTGGGTGCTGTGAGCCACCAGCTGTGGATGGAGTGTCTCCCCCCTTCCCTCATGACCTGCTGAATAGGCTAGATCCAGTTACACTACAGGCATGAAAGTTATTGTTATCTCCATGGGCAAGTTTAAAGCAAACCAAAGTGTACAAAAATCCAAAGTTCTTCTCTAGGGGAAGAAGTAAATCTATGGACTTACCACCCTCCTTCACAGACAATGGAGCATAGAATAGATGAGTATTGTGCTATCAAAATGAAAGGGCACATAGGGAGGATGAGAGAGAACCTGGAGAATAAATTGGAGGAAAAGAGCATACAGAGTAAAAAGAGCCCTTCCTTATTTGTTTTCAAGATAAGGGGTACATGGTGGAAGATAACACACCAGTAGGTGTGGTACGTGGTACCTGAGAGGAGCTGCTTGGGCCTTGGCACTTATCTGTACCTCTGCAGCAAGTTGTATTTCAGCAGTCAGTGCTAAGTTTGCATGGAGACATCTCTTTGGTGGCAGGCAGGGCTGTTTGGTGCTAGCACTGCAGAGAGAGGTGTTACCATGGTGGGTCAGCTGCAGTCTTGATGGCAAAAGCTTGAGACTGGCGCTAATTCCTCATTAATACAAGGAGAGATGATGTGAGAATGCTCCTCTGCCAGCAGCAGCCCAGCAGCATCATCCTTTCAGCAGCTCTGCTGTATGCTTGACTACATCTTATCAATCAGCAAACTCTCATTTCCAAAAATGACCTTGAGCAGTTATGAGGGAGGGCTTCAGTCACCAGCCTTTCTATTCAATAAGCTTGGGCGTCCTGATGAACAAACACCAAGGGCAAACTTGTTAACAAAGAGCACTTTCTCTTTGCTTTGCAGGAGATATTTGGTTACAAAACCCAAGGCTGCCGAAAGGCTTTGTGCATTGCTGGATACATCTTGTCCTGTGGGGCTCTGCTGCTGCTGTTTTACTGGAAGCCAGAGTGGGACGTGTGGGCAAACTGCATCCGCTGCAGCTTGGAAGAAGCGGATGTTGTTCTGCTCAGAACAACGGTAGGTGAACCCTCCTGACTCATTGTTATTTGCAGAACCGAGTGCTTTCACAGGTCAGGCAGCTTCTCTGTCTTCATCTGCATGATGTAGCAGGTTAATAACACTTTCCACATTTGGAAGTGGAGTGGCAGGGATGAATGAAGCTTCAGAGGACTAATGATTTTTATTTGCAGAGTTTGAAACGCCACACAGAAGACCATGTTTGCACTAACAAGAGTGCAGCTGCTCTGCCTGAAGGCTGGGCACCAAGCAGACTTCAGGCATTCCAGCTGCCCACCTGCAGGGTCCAGCAGCTGCCCTCTGCAATAACATCTTCCATTAAACACCTCTGCCTTTTCCCTTCCCTTGTATATGTGAGTCAACTGACTTCAGTGCAGGGATCATCTTCAGAAGTTGTGGCTCTTAGAAGCCTTTCTGCATTAAAGTTGTTGGAGAATCCTGAGGAAACGGATTTTAGAGAGATAGATTTTTAGGCATTAGTTATATTCTAGGTCTCCATGAGTGTAAATTCAAACACAACCCAATTCTATCAGAACAAATGCATAAGACACTTAATGCTCAATATTGAAATTATAGTCATAAAGTAAATGCTCACAAACCACTAAATGAGTCATCTATTGCTCATTGTAACTAGTCACATTAGACTAAACTGATTAAAGGGCAATTCAGTTTGACGTGTGCATCCATAGCAGTAAAGCTGAGTTGCTTTTGGCAATGGATGTATAACAAGTCACACAGAGTTATAGGAGTTCTGTAGAGCAAAGTACCTCTTGCTGAGGACTCGGTGTCCACACCAGAAGTATTTCAGAAAGCTTTTACTTACAGCTAGTTCTAGTATGATCCCATAGAGTGAATATCCATTCAGTAGCTGTTGAAGCACATCTTCTGGATTAGTTTCATCTTCTCTGGAATTCCTCCACAGTATTAATCAAAGCAAATGGAGATGATTGCAAGATTGCCTTCAAAGTACTTTACTGATACCAACATCCCTGTTATTATGGGCTTACATTTGCTGTGACTGCAATGATACCACATTAGTTCTCTGGGAATCTCATATACACTTCCCTGAGTCAGGAAACATTACCACAGGCAACATTTTGGGCTTGTCACTGAACTGTGCTCTATTTCTCTAGGATGAGTTTCATAGATACAGCCGGAAGAAGGTGACCTGGATCGATCTGTCCTCATTGGCACCACCTGTTGGTAGTAATTCAGATGGTCCTCTTGTAGCTGATAAAGACTCTGTCATAAACAGAGCTGTAATGAAGCCACAGTTAAAGGTAAGTCATCTATAAAATGGAGAAAGATGGCAGTTAGGTGAAAATAGGAGTAAAGGCACCTGAAGGTTCCCTGGGATTCTCTATCAGCATCTGCCTGCAAATCCTGTTTACATAAGCTCAAGTTTTCTCCTAAAACATGGAGTAGCATTTCAATAACAGTGAGATGGTTCTCCCTTGAGTGGCAAAAGGAATTTTTGCTATTTGGTCTTGCAGATGAGGTGTATCCAGGTGCAGAAAATCCGTTATATTTGGGACTTTTCTGTAAAAGAATTCAAGAAAGTTGGGTGAGTGTCAACAGCTTGTTACAAAACGTTTTGTGGTAGGGGACTTGCTTGTCTGAACTTTCTCCTGTTATCTTAGTTCATTAGAAGACAGCAACACATGTCATAGTATACACCACAAGTTTGGAGTTGGCCTTACAAGGGAAGAACAGAAGATCAGGTATGGTTTATATATGAGTATTTTTATGAGCTAATTGTGACAGTGTGACTTATGAATTACTCCTGTGAACTTCTTGCTACTCACCTTAGTAGTAAGGCAGTGCAAACTGCATGGTTGACATTCAGAAAGGTGAAAAATCATTATCCTTAAAACTCTATTGAGTTCATTGTCTTCTTGGTGATGCCAGGTTAAGTCTGCAGAAAATGTCACTGGTTCCACCTGGGGTTCAGGGTACAGCAAGCCATGACTGGCTTCCTTTGCCATTTTTTCATTAAAAGCCCTCTGGAAAGCTTGTCACAGGGTTTAGCAGCACACTGACAATCTTTTCTGCAAGGAAACAGTAAAATTCTGCCTCTGTGTAAAGTCCTCTTGGATATGATAGCTTCCTGACAGGTTTATTTGTCCTGCTTGGCCATATGGTGCCCCCAGGATGCACTTTTTTAGCTAAGTGTTAATGTTATTTGGGCACATGGTTTTCCCCATGAAGTCTTACTCTATGTGACTAAGCTATAACATGGGGAACTCTTCTCTACCTTCCTACAGGCAGCTGGTGTGTGGGCCCAATGCCATTGAAGTTGAAGTTCATCCTATTTGGAAGTTACTTTTTAAAGAGGTCAGTAAGTCAGACTAGCACTTTGGTGGGACAGGTTTGAAATGTTCTGAAGACTTTACCTGGGCACACTGGGATGGGATGATTGATGCTTCATAGGCATTAGCAGTGGAGGAAAGTTGGTGAACCTCCTTCATGGCTATTAGCACACACTCCTGGCAGAAGGTTACAGGGCAGAATATGAAGCTAAGAGGATGCTTGGTGCTGCATAGTTATGACAGCTAAATGTTTCCCTTATGATGACTATGCCCCTTCTTGGAGAGCAGTAGTGTGAGGGACTGATGTCCTCCTCCTCTGCTGCAGACCCTTATTCCCAACTGAACATTCTCCTGTGAATTCTCCCGTGAGCTGGGACATCTTGCCTTGTGACTGAGCAGTGACATGCACCTGCAGTGATCATGCTCTCTGCAACTGCTAGGGCTGACCATGGCCACATCAGTAACTCTGTCCTTTCATGTAGGCTCTTGGTAATGATCTGCAGTGAAAATTTTATTGGTACAACTAAGGCACATCTGTTCCTTATTAATAGCCTTGTTTTAGTAGTCCAAAGTAGTACAAAGCGTTATACAAGTTTGCTCAGCAGCAGGGGAAGTCAGGAGTGTGCTTTAGAATGGACTAAAACATTTGCAGAATTCCTATTTTATAATTGCTTTGTTCACCTCATAACTTCCTTTTCTGCTGTGACATAGACACAAGGCAATTTTTTTTTCCTGCATAAATAAGGATGCACTGCAAGACTGTTCTTCCTCTACAGAGTGCAAAACAAACACATCTTGTGGATAAGAGGAGATGTGTGGATGGCTACTTGCTGAGTTTGCGTATGGAAATGCTGGACATATGTTTTTGCCAACCTGTAAGCAGAGGCTTTGCATACGGGATACTGTCATGTCATCTGTGTTCACTTGAGTGGATTATGGATGCTACATGAATGTCTTTAAAATGGAAAAGAGCTAGGAATGCTGGGACTCCCAGCTACCGTGTGTCTCAACTTTAAGTGGAGTTTGTTTGAAACCCTACAAAATACACTAAAAGCTCCAGGGCTCCTGAAATTGCTTGAATTTGATGTTATGAACCTTTCAGTGCCCTCTGGAGATGGTTTTGAAGAGAACTTCACTGTAGCACTCCAAAAAGTTTATTTAATTTGAGCTTTGCACTTCCATCCAAGGCTGGAGTGGAGCTTCATGTTTGAAATATTAATGGTGGTGCCTGGAGGCAGACTGGTCCTCATACGCTTGTGATATTTCAGTCCAGCTTCAGTGGCCAAAGACTGGCATCCTGATTTAGTGTCTGTCTTTGTCCTACTGAATGTCAAAGAAAGTATTAAATTTTAATTGAGGGACCAAATGTGTCAGATGAATAATTCATTTCAGTTTCAGTCGTTATGCAGAAAGCTCTTTCAGTGGCTATTTTAGTTACACCAGGTCTACAGAAAATTCTGTCACTCCTTCAGACAAGCCAAGTGGTGGGCAAATCTCTGAAAAACTTAATTGAATTCTTTTGTTGTTAGCTAGATACCACAATAATCAAAATTGTGTTCTCAGGCTTCAGTGGGGATTGTTTGTTTTGGGTAACACATCAAAGTGAGTGATGTATTGTAAGACTGATGCAATGTAGAGTAGCCAAAAGTATGGAAGTACAAGGAAATCAAGCCTTCATTTTAGCTGTAGTCTAAGACTGATTACTGATGGCCCCACAGACCCTTAGTTCTTTGCCATTTTTCTTTTTCCAAATAAATATAGTAGTTATTTTTTTAAATCACTAAGTATTAAAGACATATACTGTATTTTTTTTTTCAAATTGGCGTAGTATCTCCTGTGTAGCAATTACTTAGTATCAGAAAAGTTATGGTCACCTTTGTTAGATGGCTACAGTGGGAAACCAACTGACTTAAAGGCCCTTAAGTCTGGCTTAAAGTTGCCAGCGTAGATTCTGCTGCATAGTAACTGGTTAGCTACAGCTTTTAATTACAAACACCAGGAACTAGGTGTAAGCTGGTAAATTCAGAACTGGAGGCTATTAATGCTCTAAAACAGCCATAAAAGAGTGCTGCCTTGGGATGGCAAAACAGCCCTTCAAGATGGTGTTTAAGACTCCTGCACGCTGTAATGAAATGTTCTGACCTCTTCCCACACTTGATCTCTCCTGAGGTGTGTTATGCCCATCCCCTAACAAGTGTTTATATTTGCATTTGCAGATTTTAAACCCCTTCTATGTGTTCCAAGCCTTCACCCTCACGCTGTGGCTGAGCCAAGGCTACTTGGAATATACGATGGCCATCATAATCCTGTCCATCATTTCTGTTGGCTTAACGGTGTATGACCTCAGACAGGTGAGTCTGCCGTGCAGCCTGCCAGCTCCCCATCCTGCACTCTGCTAGCAATTTCATCTGTCACAGACACAAGTAGCTATTTATATGCTCTTTCTGGTTATTTTTGATTGCTGTGTATTCTGCTGTATTACTACAGATTTATTTCTATAGAAGAGTTAAAAGGGTCATACCTGGGTCTTGAACTTCCCAAGAATTAAAGAAGATTGAAGTCTGATACTGGGGTTTGTAGGATTTTATGAAGGTGCAGTATACCATGAGTCTAGTTCCTATTGTCATTTCAGGAGGATTTACTCTTCTTAAGGTTTCCTAAATAACAGGTCTTAACAACAACAAAAAATATTACTTTTTATTCCTCAAGTTTGTTCAACACTTCTGTCATGGATACAGCTGCTTGGAAGAATTTTCTAAGGGTCTCAGCGCATTCACTCTTTGACCTAAAGCATTGACCTGTGATAAACCTGAAACCTTCATTCTATGGCAAAGGCAAATAGATGGAGCTGAGCCTTATGCAATGTTTGCCTGCCATTGAGTATCCTCAGGCAGCCAGGGGAGGTTCCTGGTTCTTCCTACTGGAATTGCAGAATGGTCTCACTGGGAATTTTGGAAACATTTCCTTGATTTTTTAACCCACCTTAAATACACAGGGAAGGCAAAAATCACATGAAGAAAGGATGTAATAGGGAAAAAAGAGAAACTATGTGAATGAAAGTACAGCTGGGAAAGAGGTATAGGAACAGGAGCCTGGCAGGCAACATTCTAGTCTCTCAGGTCCGGATATTAGGTGTTACATTCCTCTGTATTGTTAAGATTGAAAAACAAAACTGAACTGGGGATTCCCAAGTCCTGGTAAGTGTTTTGTCAATCTTCAGGAAAAATATAATGGTTAGAGGATAGCACTGAGAATTACAGTTGCTGCAGACAGTGTGATGTGGTTAGAAAGGTTCATTGAGAAGGTGGTATAGCAAACTACTCTATGAAGTGCTGCCCAGGAGGAGACAATAATTTGCCCTTCCAGGAGCTGGCTTTTATTTGAACCGACTCTGCTTTTCCCTGGGCTGGTAGAGGTAGACGTCACGTTCCCTGCACAGGTCCCAGGCCCGTGGGCTCATGGGCCTTTGGGCCTTGCGTGCTCAGTGGCATGCTGTGCCGACCTCCTGTGCAGCCTCTGCCCTGCCAGGGGCATGCTGCTGTTGCTGCTGTGTTCCAGCCCTCGCACCAACCTCAGCAAGGGCTTTGTGAATAGCTGGGGCTTTTGCCAGCATATGTGTGTTGGCTGTGCATCACGTTTTTGTGTCTAGAACTGATATCTGTAGGATGACTAGCACTCCCATGTTGAATGAGCACTCGCATCTCTTCGAGTGCACCTCTGTACTTAAAGTGCTGGTGTCTGTCCTGGTGTTGCAGAGCATGAAGAACAGACATGGTCTGTTCAGCTTTCTTTGGCAAGGCTGATTTTATTGTGTGGCTGATAATTTTGGAAAGAAGAATTACAATGTTTGGGACCTCCAGATATTCTTCAAACTGGCTTGACATCTTCACATGAACAATGCCAATGAACAAACGCACACTCAGGGATTAGTTTTTTGCAACTGCAGCTTTGAAATCAAGATAAGGTATTCTCTCTAATGGCCTTGTAATGACAGTTGACTTCATCATTATCTCAGGACATGTAATTGTCTGATTTAGATTGCAAAAGCTGGCAAAGCACAGACACCCAGCTAAATTAGAATTTCTGTGTTCCTTCTTGCAATGGTAGTTTTGTAACAATAGCTTTTACAACTTGGTTGTCCTGTTGATGGCCTCCTAGCAAGGATAAAACCGATGAGCACAAAGAAACCTGCTACTAATGGACTGCAGATAGCAGTGTTGCAGCTAAGGGGACTTGCTCAGGCACGAAGCAGAAATAGCACTTTGAAGGCTGAGGGAAATAGAGCAGCATGAACCGGAAGCAAACAGAAAATTAGGTCCATGTTCCCACAGCAGCTTGTTCCAGATTAACTTGATGAACTCACATCCTGACCTCTAACAAGCAATGTGAAACCTCCCCTGGATAACTCAGCACAGTTCAGTTTCTGTGATGTTAGCGTGATCACTGAACTGTAACCTACTGCTTCAATTGAGTATTGGTGTTTCAACACTGCGATTGCTTTCCCACCAACAGCAGTCTACCAAGCTGCATGACCTCGTTGAGGCGCATAACAGAATCCAGGTTACAGTCTGCACAAAGAGTGGAGGTGAGTCATCTGCATCTCATTTTCCTCGCCAGCCTGTATAATTAACTAATGTGTTGAAATGTATCTGGAATTGCATGGCTCCCATTGATTTCTACTGCTGAAACATGAAGGGCGAGCTGCAAGGAGAATGGGGCAGAGGGCAGTGAGAAGTGTGGACACAGCCTATGCAGTGCGGTAATGATGCATCTGTATCATCATCTGTATCTGTGGCATCTGTAATGATACAGGTGAACCTAGTAATTTGTGTAAAGAGTTGAGAACAGCTTGGAAAATTTAATTTCACAAACAAGGAACTAGAGAACAACTCTGGCCTGAGATCTGCTTCCCTGCTCTGCTATACGCTGCTTTCACAATCTTGTCAAGCAGCTTGTGAGCAATTTTCAAGGAGTCTAGATATATGGCTCCAACTGAGGTATGTGCTTTCCTGCATCTCAGTTCCTTGCCCATAAAATAGGGGTTATAGCTATTTTTGCTCCCAAAGATGTTGAGATGGGCAATTGCAAGGATGTAGGCAGATGTAAAGACTCTGATAGATTTTTCTTCATCAGAGTGTTTTATGGACTCTAAGCAAATAAAACTGAAGACACCCACTTGGAGAGAGATCTTTAGACAAGGACTGATCTTTGTGCTGTACTTTTCAGCCAGTGTTATTTCTAAGAAGCACTGGCCTTAAATCATGCAGTGTCGAAGTTTAGTGATGTTGTGTGTGCTTTGAGACTATTTAAAATTGCCTTGAGCTTGTGCATAAGTGAAGTTCACTTTTGTATTGTTCTTCAGGTTGCAAAGAGCTGGAGTCTCGTTACTTAGTCCCTGGAGACATGTTTCTTTTAGATGGAAGAAAGCGCTTTCTCCCATGTGATGCTGTTCTGATTGATGGAAGCTGCGTTGTGAATGAAGGGATGCTCACAGGTGCAGCCTTAGAGTTAGAAATGCTAAGGCCCTGTGCAGGTTCTCTGTCAGAGAGATGTCTCTATCTGTTCTGACAGCAAATTGTTTACTATTTATTGGAATAATTTGCAGCAGGAGGTGGAAAAGCTGTGTCTTGAATAACTCACAGTTGTCTTGGGCGTTTGAACACTGTCACTGTGTAATATGCATTTCTTACCCACATTAAAAACAAGTAGGATTAGTATGCTGTCAGGAGTAGAAAGTGAAAATACTTAAATACACTGAATATGTATTTTTTGAGTTTTTGGATTCTGATCTTGCAGCAGTTCTGTTCAAAGAGGCAATGTGTGAGCACAGCAGTCGGTGCTATACCTAAACGTCAAGCCCAGTACGAGGCATGAACTTGGTTCAGGGGCAAAATTTGACCCAAGCTCCTTGATACAAAATACTTGGAGAAACCATCTGATGTACTCTGAAACTAAAACTAGAATAGCTGTCATAAATCCATATGTGTAAATATATAAGCAAGCTAATTAGTTAGGCAAGCTTAAGCACCTAAAGGCTGATATCTTTTTTTAATATGCAGAATCTGATAGACTTTTAAATCCCCTTTAAGTGATGCTGCATGTTCTTGTTCTTAGGTGAAAGCATTCCAGTTACGAAAACCCCCTTGCCCCTCACGGAGAGTCTGATGTCCTGGAAAACCCACAGCGTGGAAGGCTATCGGAGACACGTCCTGTTCTGCGGGACAGAAGTCATACAGACGAAGCCGATGGGCAGAGGACCAGTGAGAGCTGTTGTGCTGCAAACCGGTATTTCTTTTATTGTTTGCTAACTGGCAGAGGGAAAGTAGCAGCCCCAGAGGCTGGAAGGAGAGCTGATTTCTCTTTATAGTTCAAGTCCAGCACAGTCTGATGTCCCTGGGAACTGCTTGTTGCCACCTGATGGCTAAGGCTTCAGCACTGGTACCTGTTTTCGAATGGCACCGATGCGGTATGCCACTGCTACCTCCCATATGCAATGTCTGGCATATGTTTTCGTGCAGGGTTCAATACAGCCAAAGGTGACCTGGTGAGATCCATCCTCTACCCCAAGCCAGTGAACTTCAGACTCTACAGAGATGCCTTCAAGTTCATCGTGGGCCTCTCTGTCATGGGTGTGCTCGCATTCATCTATACCGTGTGTGTGTTCGTGTCCCACAAGGTAAGGATGAGGGATGCCTCCGTGCTGCCAGTGCCAACTCTGAGCCCTCGGTCACTCCAGATCCTTGGAATATTGTTCAGTTCTGTAATTCAGTTTTCAGATGCCAGA